GCGAGTGGCTGTGTGGTGCTCAGTTGCCGACTGAGGTTAAACCACGACAGTATCATCAACAGATGGGCAACTGCTAAAAAGTCTCAGAAGCAATGCACTGGTACCACACTATTTTATGGGCAGCTGCCTTGAATTGGGTGTTTCTAACAGCATCAGGATCATCAACTTTATTTTAGCTGAGTTTGTGGTTGGCAATGTCCTGGATCAGAAAAATGCAAAGGAAAGGAAGATCTGCCAGAGTCAGAGGTAACTGAAAACCAAATGTCAGATCTGAGTACTTGCGAACTCGAACCACATTCAGATCTGGAGGAAAGCGCTGTGGGTCAGTCTTAACTATAGGAGCGGCTGAGCAAAACCCACATGTAGGAACCTCTGAGGCTTGGGCCACATCTCCCAGGAGCACACCTCCCAGGAGCAGCGATGGCTCAGTCCCCAGGCTGCCTTCCTGGATTCAGCATGGCTGCACACTTCACAGGTTATTTGCTGGAATGACTCAGCTACACTGACGTATTGACACCAGCAGAGAAGGAGCAGGGAAAAGGGAGAAAGTGCAAAAAGCTGCATTCGTCTTTCATGGTGGTGTCATGTGTCAGACTAAACTGCAAAAAATAAATGAAAAATCTCTGCCCAGTACACCCACTGGGTCTGTGCAACCAACAGGTACTGCAGAGGGACCGGGCCAGGCTCTCTGGCTGGCTGGCTGCACACGGCATGCCCCTGCACCTATACCCCAAATTTCTCATTACAACCACTGTCCAAACCCAACAAACCCTTTCTGTACTGATGAGAGAACATAAACTCTTTGCACCGAGTTCTGTGACTGCTCGAAAATGTGTAGACAGTAAAATGATGAAAAACTGGTAGCTGGTGAGTAGGGAGCGTGCGTCAGGCTGTGCTGCGGGGAACAGCAAGGGGATAGCTGTGGCAAGAGCTGTGGGCTCAGGCTCCTGCACCATCTCTCTGTGTTACACAGCGTTCGTCAGCGCAGGGGCAGGGGGCTTGCCAGGAGAGGATTGTGGCAGACCCATTCATGCAGTGAATAACCCATCAGCCCAGTCCTGGAACAGTGAAATCCCACCTCCCACTAGGAATTTCCTGCCATTCAGGGAGCACTTTGTGGAATAATAGCACTCTTAGAAAAACAAAGCAAAAAAATGCCAAAACCCTCACTCCTCTCCAGTAAAGCAGGTGAGACTTGGAAGCTCAGTGAATTTCTAGGCAACATTCCTAGATACAGTTAGAATAGAAACCGAAGCCATTACCCTACAGTAAATAGTACCGATACAAGATGTGCAAGAACAGCAAATAAAACAGCCACAACGTACTCAAGACCAATCTTGCTTAGCCACAGAGACCAGAACCTGCTGCCTCTGTAACAGAAGGAAATCGAGATGACTGCTTTCCCTTTTACATTTTCTCATGTGAAATTTTGCACAGAGTACCACGGCTCTATCTTTAGTGCTGTGTGGAATGAGAGCCCAAACCTCTCCCTGTCCCTGTTCTCCCAACACACACCACTCTCTGGTCTGCCTCTGCGAAACATGAGAGAGAGAGAAATACACAACAAAATATGGATGGCTAAATCCTGAACTGCATCAAAAGGAATGGAGTTGCTCTGCTTTTCTGTCACGTCTCAGAGAAGAGACACAGGGTTTTACATTACTACTTTTACAAAAGGCAAACTTGAAGAATGCCTTGAAAGATACAAACATTTGGGATTTACACCTTGGAGAAGGCCAGAAAAGCTCTCCTTTCCCCACAGCCGCTATACAGCATGGAATACCCTAACCAGCTTCCTAACTTTGCCCAAATCACCATGTTGGCCTCATACATGGTGATGTGGGTATGGCAAACAAAAATCTGTTCCACAGGAATAAGCATGAGGAGGGTGAAGAACACTGCTGGGGATTTCCAAGGCCTAAAGCACAGTGCTTGTGCTGGCCTCTCGCTGCTGCCCTGTGAGCACACCCTGCAGGGACTGCCCTGCTCCAGCCCTGGTGTCACTAGGGGTTGGCTGTGCTCATGTACACAAACGTGCAGATGTTTCCTTCTCAGCCAGAACCACCTCTTGGTACTTTTCAGGATATACTTCATTTCAACACTTTTCTCATTGTATTGCCCTAAACTTCCCTTATTCACCACAAGGACGGAGTGATGTTTCACAGCCAGCCTCCCCATGCCCATCCCATCGCTACCTTGCTGCTCTAAGGGGCAGGGAGCTGTGGTTAACAGGGACCCCTTATCACCCCTCACTGCCCAGGTGACACTTAGTGCTGTAAGTGGGCACAGCCATAGGCTGCTAATACTATCAGCAAAGGGTCCGGGGTGGGAGAGCAAACCACTCACCGTCAGCCAAGTGGTAAATATCCTCTACCAGAATAGCATAATCTTGCACAGGGACAAGCCAATCTATTCATTTAAAGAAATGTATCACAAAAGGGTAATCTGGCAGGCAATGCTGCTGGCAATCAATAAACCTCATTTACTTTGCTCCAAGGAGTATTTGGAGGAGATGTACAGGGTCAGTACAGTGGGCAGCAGTGGAAATGGGAGCACGGCAGGCAGTACAGTGTGTGGGAATAACTGCATATGGGAAATGGTTGTCTTTGCTCAGTCTGTTATGTTTCTCAAAGTAAATTTGTTCTTGAGAACATTTCTTTGTGAATACACCTAAACTATGAATTAGTTACAGACTAAAACACTTTCCCTTCCTGAGTGAGACCCTTTGGTGCAGCTTCTTGGCAGAGCCCCACAGGCCACCCCGTTCCTGGAAGGTGAGCGCAGCACCTCCGGGGGCATAGCACCACTCAGCAAGAGATGGTTTGGATTCCCCTTTCCAAGAAAACAAGGTAATATTAAAAAATAGCAACAACTTCATGGGAAGATAGATACACAGAAAGCAATTCTTGCCAAGTTAAGGTAGTTACTGTAGTAGCTGCCTACCAGCACAGCAGTCAGACCCAGCCAGAGTTGATGAGCTGAGGACATATCAGCGCCACATCCCCATTGCTAGCCAGGCAGTAAAGTGGGCTGATTGGAACACTTTCCTGTTCCAAGCCTGGTTTCATTAAGTGTGGGATCTCTCTCACCCGTGCAGGGCTTTGCGGCTGGCTGGCAAGCATGTCAGGAGAGCCAGCAATGGGATCAAACTAGGGTCGACCCCACAGATGGCTGTCACCCCTGGCCTGATGTCAGGTGTAATTGTTTTCCAGAGGTGACTAGCAGAAAGGAGCACTGCTAACCCAGCCCATTAACTTTGTTCTACCTAATGCCAATCAGTTTGTTTTGTCTGTGAACAACAACTAGAAAGCAGAAGGAAAGTCAGTGTATATAATCCTAATTTCATGGAAGTTTAAAAAAAAAAAAAAAAATCCATGTGACCCGCAGCAGCCTCCACTAACAGAAAGCAAATGTTGCAAGAAGCCAGTGTGTCTGTGCTTGGTGCTGCTCTGAAAGATTCCCTGAGCTCCCAGTGTGGCTCCTGCACAGCTCCTCCTTGCTGTGAAACCCCTTCAGTGGGTGGCTTTACAAGTGGAGCTGCCCTGCTACTGGCATCTAGAAGTTACATTAGCAACAGCGTCTGTCAAGGCCTTTTCTTTTTATTTTAAAATATTTTTTAAAATATATTTTTAGAAATAAATAATACTATTTATTTCCCCAGCAGTGGGTTGTGGAGCACAGCCTGAATTGCATAGCTTGGCCAAGTCAGTTCTGCCTGGTACGATCTCATTTATTTAAATAATCACTGCTGAATTTCTTGCAGCAAACTATCCCAGTGCGGAACTCTGAAGCATCTACACAATGGAGGAACAGTGCTTTCTATTAAGCTCAGCAGTCTTAATGTGTGCTTCCCCACTAGAGCAACATTTATTAGGACAACACTACTGTGAGGCTGATTGCTAGAGGGAAGGTTTGTTAAGTTAGGTTTTATCCAATGGGGTTCACAAATTCTCAAAAATGTTTTCATCTGCAGGGGGTAAACGAATGTTATTTTGGGAAGAAAACACTGAAAACTTTTCAGGAGGAAAGCGTATTATGTAATCGCAAAAGGTTGCCGAGTGATAAGGGAAGGTGCTGCGTGGCGCACAACTACATGTGAACAGTGACTAGGAAATGCTAAGGTGGGAAAACAGGTGTGTGCATGTCGGTACTATTGCTTTTTGGGGCTGTCATCAGAGGTGCGTCATTGTGCATATGAGGCCCTACATTGTTAAGAATTACCGGACTGCCATTTGTTCAACCGTGCAAGGATGTAAGTTTTAACATCCTTATTAATGTGTGACTCCAGGTGGCTTTGACGTACAGCATAGTGACAACCATAAAATTGTTATAGGTCTATGCAGTTATTACAACAGCATAAGCTCCAGATAACTGGGAGGTCACTTTAGAAACTCACTGCTGGGAAATGATTCCTGATACTTAGCCAAAAAACTTTATTAATCATCATCTTAGGTCTCCTAGTTACCTTTGTCAGACCACCCCTTGTGTTCTCTCCTTTTCATCAACACTTGCAGCCTTCAAATACTTGCAAAGTTATCTCCTTGCCGCACAGCCCAGTACCTGAGGCACGCTCCGTGAACAGTTGAGTCTATAACCCTGAACATCAGAAGCCTGAACTCTGTCAATCACCATCTTTGCAATTGCAATCTTAAGAGGGAAAAGAAAAATCAGAACCCCCTTCAGAGCAGCAGGCCTTTTAACTACAAAAGGCTGGAGCCACGGAAAGCATAATGAGCAGATCATAATTTGTTAGCAGAATTTTAATCCTGAAATCAAAGAAGATCAGGAACTATTCTGCATGGAGAACACAAGGGGCTTCAGCTTGCTCTCCACCTTGGCAGAGGGAGCCTGTTAGTGCCCACTGTGATGTTTTTCTCCTGAAAGACCCTTGCTCCCTTGCATCTTGCACAGGAAATTTAGGAGGTGGCATGGACTAGTGCAAAAAAAAGAAAGCAAGCAGGAGACCTCAAGTTAATCCTGGCTCTGCTGTTGACAGGCAGCGGGATTACTTTGCTTGCCCAAGTCTACCTTGGGCTATGAAGAGCTGTCTAAGCTAGTAGTAGAGTTTCAGAGCTTTGTGTAGAAAGATGTTTCCTCTTCTCGGAGGACTTTTAATGGAATGACCCCCCCCATTTGAGCAAGGGAGCAGGCTGGGCTGGTCCAGGTCCTGCTGTTGAAGTCCCTGGTGTGAGATCAGCCAACCCAGGGCACTGCCCAAATTGCCAGTAGAGCTGCTGGGTACACAGGAAAAGACCCAGGCCAGTCTTCCACCTATCCCTGCTGCTGCGCTCAACTGTGTCACAACTCAAAACATCTCTGCCAAACACTGTGACACTGCCTTCCTAGGAAAAAAAACCCTCACATTCATCACTGCCTAGTACTGACACGCCTTAAAAATCAGGGGACCTGCAGCAGAAGTCTCCCAGTCACTACCATCTCATGACAGGCTTGAGTTACCCTTGACTCCAGATATGGCTTTGCAATCCCACTTCTCAACTCCAACAATTAGATAACATTGAGTATTTACAATTCCACTGTGGGACAGCCACTTGTATCCTTGCCAGTTGCCAATTTTCAAGATCCCTAAGGCCATCAACAGGATTGAAGCAGAGAATGAAACATGGAGAAAAGGGTATGAATTTGAAATTGAGAGGATATCTGATATCCTGTAAATAACAAGCTTGATTCTGTGAAACCACGGGCTGACATCATGTTATATATCAATGCCTATTCAGGGAAGGCTGGCTGCTTTGCAATAAAAATGTGTGTTGAGAGGGAAAAAAAAACCAAAACCAGCAAGGATGAAAGCAAGAAGAATGAAAACAGTTGCAGATACAAAGCAGAGGAAATGATTTATAAGTGTTCATGCATTTTCTGCTTTGTCAAGACTTATCTTTTCAGGTACTCCTTCTTTGTCTCATGTGTGTATTTCGAACACAGAAAAGGTTTAGCTGGAAGGAAGCCAATATCCCGCCTCAGGCAATGATTAGTGAATCCATTTGGAGCAGCACACTTATCTTTGACAGACAGAGAGATTTCCAGGAGTCAGATATATTGGCAGCTGTCAGAATCAGAGTCTGGAAGTTTACAGCCCAAATCATACTGAGCCCATCCACCAACAGGCACAGAGATACTGGCACAAAATCTTCAGACTCATGTTTTCTTGCAGCCAGGTCTGAGGGTTCATATATGTAATTTTATTATCCTTTGCTCACTCTCGCGCATGCAGAGATTATCTCCATATAATTTATGTGAATGTATTACCTAGTGTTTTACCAGGAAAGGCTGGGGCGGGCAGGCAGGCAAACTAACACAGCACTGCACAAAAGGCAAATTGCCGTTTTCAAAGCAAGAATCGTCAATCCCCTGTATTCGGTTAACTCGTTAAGACCTACTTCAGCTACAAGATTTGAAGCACCGAGCCATCCATTCACGTAGGAATGACAGATCGATACCATATCTAGAGGCTGCTTAGCTCTGAGGATGAAAGCAATTAAAGAAAGTGCCCCAACACTATGTAAGAAGACAGTCCGGGGGAGGAGCTGACCCTCACGTACCTGAAACCCTGAGGACAGATGCAGGTGTAGCCATTGACTGCATCTACGCAGACACCTCCATGGCGACACTTATGGCCCACACAGTCATCATCATCTATTTCACAGTGTTTTCCACTGTAACCCGGCAAGCACTCACATCTGAAATACAAGAAGATTGCTGTTAATAGCTTGTTTCAACATTCACAACAATAGCACACACAGGCAGCCTAGCACCAATCTGATTTGAGATGGAAAGGTGTTAGCAATTATTCTTGGAAACACCAAGCACAATTCTTGCCATCAGAAATGCTCAAGTCCCTCCTGTCTGTCTGCAGGTGAGGCTCTGCAATCTGCTTAAATTCAAGCCGAGCAAAGCAATACCATACTACTGTTTTTCCTCAGCCAAGTCTGTGGAGAAGGGTGATCATATAGTGGTCTCCCAGTTATGCTAAAGATGACAATATCTTCCCTAACCTTACAGACTCAAAGGGCAATATTCTGCAAGGGCAGTTGCTCTGACGTCTCAGACTATGATTTTGCCAATGTCTGCACACTGCTGAGTGTCTGAGGTTGGCCCTGTGCAGCTAGACAGAGCACAGTAAGGTTCCACCTTCCAAATGGAAGCAATCTGCAAGCAAGCCATAAAACTCAGCAAATTTAAAGAAAAAGACCATCCGTTTTGAGACCACCACCTGTTTGTCATTCATTTGCAAGGCATAGCAAATGTTGCTGCAACTATGAAAAGCTGTCTTTGAAGCCTGTCCTTTCTTGTGGTGACACTCAGGTGAAGCATATACCTGCTGCTGTGGGGTAACACCATTCACAGGAGCAACACAATGTACCCTGGGGTGTACCTTTGGGATGTACCCAAACCTGCAGACATTGGCTTTATATTTTATTTTATACAATTCTCAAGTTTGTTGTACCAAGGCTGCATCAGCATTTCTATTACAAGCCTTGCAGAAGTTTATAACCTGACAATAGAAAATGCATCCCAAAGTCTCTGACTTGGAACAGATCTTTTGGGATTGCTGAACAGCCTCTTTCTGAATCTATAGTGTAGACAATGTTTAGTCATGAACACGCTTTAGTCCATAAAACACGTTTTACTCCTCCCAGCTGGATGTTACTGCACATCTGGAAAAGAAAAGGCGCACTTAAACCAAACCAAAGGAAGAGCTACAGTTAACTTCAGCAATAAAAAAAAGGTCTGTGCTCTTGCTGGAGCCCCTTGTTCGGACGCAGCGTGCTTGCCACCAAGAGCCGGAAGAGGGGAGACATCACAAAGTCAAGGGAGGTGGCATCAGGCAAGAACCAAATATTGCTCCACCAACCTATTCTGCTGGCCTCCTCCTCCCTGTCAGCAGCCTGGGGGGGTAAGTGCAGGAGGAGGCTCCTTGTGAAAACCCTTTTCAGAGGAACTGGACACATGGGAGCTGATGAGGAAAGATATTTCCACTTTCCAGGCAGCAGTTATTGTGCTGAATTTGGTTCCGAGCGACAGTGTGTTTTGGCTCCTGGCCTCTCCCCAGCTCATCAGTGCAAGGCAGCGAGTTGGGGGAAACTTGCCAGAGTGCAACGGTGGGTCCTGTGTTTGCTAATGACCAGTGAACGGCTGCCACAGCATCAAGACTTCAGCAACCGTCTAGCTGAAGCACTGAGAAGAATGTGACCTTCAGTCTCCATTTCAAAACATGGCTTGTGACTAGCTAAAAAAGAAGGAAATAGGGCAAAGCCTAGTAACCTGCAGGTTGTAGGATAGATAACATTATGTAGATGCATATATTTTCTCCATCCTCCCTACAAGAGAGGCCCCCGTCACGACCCTCCGCAGCCACAGCATGGTTGATGTTCCAGCTCTCCACGCCTGAATTGCTTTTTTACACCTTGGTGGCTCAGGGAATACTGTGATTAACATAACGGAGATGACAAAACAGAGCAAAAAGTGTTCCTTCCCCAAACCATAAGAAGTAGGCAACATTTTTTGGCAACGTTTTAGTCACACCTGCAAGCAAATAATGTCAATCAAAAGGCTTTGTTGGGGGAATTGGCAGCTTTTAATCCTGTTGCTTTTTATTGATCCCTGCAGTCCTAATATAAAGTGATGTAATAATGAACGATGTGCAGTTCTTTATTCAGCGCTGCCATGCATCAATTTTATGATGTGTATTGGCTATCTCAGTAATGACAGAACCACCACTTTTCTCTGCAGGGCTGCATTAAATCAGCATTTTAAGCTGTCAGGTAATAATTCCAAGCTTTAGAATAATAAAGTATATTTATACCATGCTCCAACATCAATACAGTGAATGGAAAAACATGCTCCTTTCCTGAAGTTATTTTTTTAGAAGTCATTTCATTGTGTTAAATGGTATTTTTTTGTTGATTTTTGTTTTGTTTTGTTTTCTGGCATACAGAAAGCTACCCTTCTTCTGTAGTAACAGCACAACAAAGATGTGGAGGCTGGAAGTGAGGAAAGCCACCTGCAATTTTAGCTTAGAAAGTAAAGAGCTCTGTGCAGCCAAGCACACACTGAAATAGTCCAGTTTGCTTCCAAGCTTGGCTTTCCCTTTAGAAACATGGAATTCCTTTCGGGTCAGTCACCTCTGAGCTCTTAGTGTGTCACATCTAGGCTGAAGCTACCAAAAAATGCATGTCTGGAGCCTAGCAGGTGAGAAACTCAGCCACATGAGTGCCTCACCCAGCCTCCTCCTAGAAACCCAAGGTCCACCCGCCCGGGGAATGATGGCACATTAGCTCCATCCCTCTCCCACATAGTGCCAGCAAGTGACTGAGTATCAGTAAAAGTATGATGAAGTAAAGGAGGAGGCGAAGAAACTTTCATATTCAAATTCTGGTAAGAGAGTAATTTAGACAAATAGATCAGTTATCTCATTTCCCAGTGACCGTCTGACACCAGTACAGTTGAAATCTTGTTTTCTGCTACAGTCTTGTAGTGATGGCAACATTCCCAGTACCAGAGAGAGCCCAAAAACATGTCTAGTGGTATTTAAAATGTTGGCCTATCCAACGGGATTTGCATCTGCGTGCACTCAATGTCTATTGTATTAAAGCCGTGAATCATGGCTTCTATTGCAGGGCCAGAATGGAATTTCCCTCTCCATATCAATAAATAACTTGGCTTCCTATTTTTTTTTTTTTCCTGTCTTTGTCATCTTTTCCTCCCTCTGCAGAGTTGCAAACTGACTAGAGCTGAAGGCAGGACAGAGACTGACTGGTGTCCTTGCTGCTATGATATTCTTCACCGGTGTGTCCTGCTCACATGCCCAGGGCACAAGCCTAACAAGTGGATGGTCAGCTCAGGAACAAGGTTGAATCCTGCCATTAATATTCCCCGCCTCTAAGCAGAGCGGAGGACTCGTGCATGAGCCTGACTCATCCTGCATGTGGCATTATACTGCACCAGTACGTGCTAAACGTATGGCACATCACAGGTCAGGGGATCGAACTGCTCAAGGGATCAGCAACAGCACAGGACCAGAGGTGGTTGTTTTCAGTGAGACCCAGCAGCAACCACACATCACTGCAAAAGCTGCTGAGGGGTCTCAGCCCATTTCTGAATGGTTTGGTGCAACTAAAGTATGAAAGAAAAAGCAATACTTGGACAAATCTAAGTTCAAGGTTGGGCAGGCTCCTTCACCTCTCAAGTCTGGCCTGCTAGAAAGCAAAATGAGACAGAAAAAGTAAAGAAATTCTGGATTTTTGTCTAGCATTCTATGAATAGTGGGAAGAATAATGCAACAAACAGTAGTAGAAAATACTTACAAGTAGTTATTTAGGCTCCCCTCAAGGGTTAATGGCCCCACTGTGAAGAACACTTTTCTAGCAAGCAAGCCAGAAAAAGTGTCTTATTTACTCAAATTATTTGGGTGGCAGGTATGAAAATGCGTCCAGCAAGGGTAAAACCATTCAGGACCACAGCTGTCTCCATCCCTTCATACGTCTAGCAACATAAGGTAATTTGAGTTACAAGCCTTTGCCTTGTAATGTGTTGTAGCTACTGGATTAGCTGAGTGATGGATTAACTGGGAATGAAAGCTGGAAAGAACATCAGGGACGATTTATGTACCAGTACACACCTCCTTATCCAGTCCCTGTGCATCATTTCAGGAACTGTCCTAATCATTTAACAGTTTCATCTTCTTCAAGAGTTGGAAACATTTCTGTCTGGACGTTTTTCACCCAAAAGACAGACTTGAGTTGTACAGACTGACTGTCCAGCACAGATTCAGCTGCCCTTTAGATAGCCAGCATCTCTAAAATTTTTGTTCGCTTCCTTTGAACTATCCTGAACTGTTCTGTGTATTAGTTTACACTATTCTGACATGCTGGTTGCTTCACAGGACACAATCTGACACCAACTGCAGGTTACCAGGAAGACCAAAGAGTGCTACCGTCTCTCCCCTGTGACATGCTGGGTGTGCTGGGTGAGGGCGTCCCTCGTCAAAACCCCAACCCTCCCTCCCAGGAGGGAATCGTTGAGCCCCAGGATTGCATCGCGGCTGTGAAAACAGCCTTAGTGTAAAGTGCAGAATGCAGCTCACACCACACTGAACTCTCTTGAATTTGTCCTCCTTTCTTACATCTTTGATTCAAAGATCTTTTCTTGACAAGCTTTCCATAGAGCTTAACTTTTCAATTGACTGTCTCTGTTTGCTAAATTGCTCTGAAATTCCCTGTTCAGACAAGTGATGAATGCTGCTACTATGCACCTCTCAAAACACCCGAACCCTCAAATCTCCAGATGTTTTACTGCCATTTAAAACACGAGGCTTTACTTTGCCCCTGTGAAACAGTCCGTGTCATTCCCAATACACAAATGCAAACACAGGAGACTTCACAAAATCTAACATCAGCGGAGCAAGGCTCGCTTCTATAGCCAATGGAAGGCGGTGGCTCCCAAGTGAGAGCCGTCCAGCTCAGCTGTTTTCTGCTGCTGCCCAGGTGAGGAAGTGTGGGGAGAGGAGCCCCACTGCTGTCAGGGATGGCCTTTGCCAGTGCACCCCAAGACTGCAAGCCATCCCGGAAGACAACAGCTAAATTGGGAATACAACAGAAGACTCCTGACCTGCAGCTTTATGCTCTGGCCCCAGGTTTGTCCTTCCCTTCTCAGTAGTTAGAATGGGGACTGGATTTTAAACACAGCCAGCATGGGCTGAGGAGAGCAAAGTTACATGTTAAGGCTCCTGTTATGCTGCTTGAATTGATGGATGCCCTAAGGAGCACATAAGGAAACTGTCCTTAGTTTCTGAGGCAGGATAAGATACTTTGCAGTAACTGTTCCAGAAGTACTCCTTTTGCCATGCTCTATTCCAGAATAATTTCTCTGCTCTGCAGGTACATCCATTATTTTCAAGTAAACCACAGAAAGCTAGAAAAGTATGTATGGTTGCATTAAAATTAAAATGTGACATGGTCTGAAGTATATATAGTCTTGCACTATTTGCATTATTTTTGATGATTTTTACCCCAAAATCATTGCCAGTTCAACTCTTGTCAAGCCCAGTATGTGGAGACCAATATACACCCATGCTTACCTGGTTCCTTTGTCAAGGGGAAGACATTTGGACTCATGTTGGCACGGATTTAGATCAGGAACACAGTGGTTAATCACCTCATCACACAGTTCACCTAAGGCAAAAGAAAAGCAATAAAACTGTAACACAACTTGGACAATCCTGAAGTGCCTTCAACCATGATGTTCGGGGATGGAGAATCTCCCTAAATGGAGACAGCTCAGTAGTTCAGCAGGAAGTGACAATATTGCTTGTGAGGGCACGTGAGACTTCATTAAATTGGGCTGCTTTGACCTATAGTGACTGTACTGTTTCTATCACATGAATTTGAAAGGCTGGTATAAAAAGTACTGACATATAAACTCCACTTGGAGACAGACTAAGGATCAAATGGGCAGTTCCTGACCCAGAACCTCTTATATCAAAGCAAGAAAGTGACACAAAAGCGAAGCAGCTCATTAGACCGTAACATTTTCACACTGAAACATATTTTAGCCGCAGTTAATACTCTGCCAAAGAAGCTGATTGGACATCATTCTGGAAAAGAACAACAACCCACAAACCCTCCCCCCAAAACCTCTGTGACTCTCAATAATAGGAACCAGCTTTAGGACTGCATGCAATTATAAAACATTCACTATTTATAAGAGAAGTACTAGCTCTATTATGCTCACAGGAGATGATATCTTTTCAGAAAAAAACCCATCACATGTAAGCTCAGCTCAGCTGTTTCTAGGTATGGTGTGTTACATGCCATGCACCTCCCTGGATTTGTATAAATTTTAATAATTAATAGTTCTAGAACGTTCAAAACTTGATGGTTTATTTAAATACCACCCTTCTCTGAGTCCTAAATTATTAGGTCACACTTCAGTACCCCAGGATTTGAGATCCAGCCAAAGACCACAGAAATCTTTGCCTTCCCAAGAAACCAACAGAAACCTACCCCACACCTCCCAAAGCCTTGCAGGAAAAGCAAAGGTCAGGTACTCTCAACACGGAAACCCCCAAAAGCTACAGTCCCAAAGTCCCCTATGCAGCTATATCAGAAGACCACATCTGCAGGGTTTCAAGGTTATGCATATTTTGTGTGCCTATACTCGATACATACCATCACATGAGCAACAAGCCATGTGGATAGCGTGGGAAAAAGGATAACGTGGGAGGCACTGGTGGGCTGGCAATGTTTTAGCAGTGTTTTCATGAAGCTGCAGCTCCACCTGTCTTGGGAGAAACTCAATTTTCAAAAATCTTTACATTTCTAACTCTAGTGGCTACAGCAAAACCCTTGAAAACACAAGCCAAGCAAACCACAAAGATCAAAATTCAGTTAGAAAATGCAAATCGGAACCGTCTGTCTTTTATCAGTCTTGTGATCTGGCAGGGATGACCGAGAAAACAATTTTGAGGATGACTCTGGTGGTGACAGGTATGGTTTAAGTTGTTAACACCCCCAGCTCACTCCTTCAGGTGATTTCTCCCACATCTCCAGCCTCCTTACAATACAAGCTACATAGCTCTTTATTTGACTCTTCATATTAGAATGGAAGTATAATACGTATTTGCAAAAATTACATTTTTTTTTGTTTTAAACATTGAACATCTAATATATCTGCTTTTGAGAGTATGTATTCATGTGCCATACATACCCTCATGACTTTTAGTGGGCCGGATTTGGCAATACCGGAGAAGTCTGGCATGGCAATCTGCAGTGGACAGTTTGTTGTTCATAGCATCAGTTATAAGACAACCAATTCCATCTGGAGCCAAGGAATCCCAGGAAGTCAGCACTATTAAATACTACCAAGTCTTCTTACAGCCCTGGACAAATCTTGGGCAACTGTAATGAACGTATCCAGCTCAGGAAGGGGTACATGCCAATGAAACTGAATGCTGCAAAGCCATGGGAACCAGGGAAACAGATCATTCACTGGGCTTGAGGTTTGCCATTGTACTTTGTTACTCCTCAAAAGCAACCAGAGACATTCAAGTCTTACAAATATGAACACAGCTGTCACTGGGGACAGCTATTAACACATTTTTGAGGTGGCAGAAGTGGCGATAGGTCTGCTTACTAAGCAATCCCAAATCCTCAGCCCACCATCCCTCCCAAATACTAACAAGCAAAGCGACTCCCTCGGCCTTTGGGCAGACATGAACATGAGCAGGTCAGAACTTGCTACAATGCCTGGACAACTGCCAGTTTGTCGTCTTGGTATTCCTCAGGTCCCTTGCGTGCTATGAATCTTATGTGAAAATAAACATGAAAAAAAGTAACTGGCTGGTGACATTAAAAGAACTCAATGATCTAAAGCTGGAAATATTTTTGGAAGACCGTTTAATAACTGGATACAGTGTGGATAGATGCCTTCAACTATCCTTTCACTAAAAATGGTCAATACATACTTTTGAAGTTTCGTTTCTTTTCTTTTGTTGTTTTGAAGAAAAGGAAACAGGCTTTAAAAAAATAAGAACAGTTTCATAAACTCTCAAAGGAAATCATAATTCTTCTTAAAGTATTCTTCTCAACAGTCTTGACAAGTGCTTAGAGATCCAGTAAAAATCTCCCCAAATGTCAAATATTATGACTCACTGTGTCATTCTGAAGGCACCACTATCAAAATGTAGAAGAATTCTAGGCTAGGTACCAAACATAGCATCCAAAAAAATTTATCATTTTTCATGCAAAACTTGGAACATTTAAGGATCCTTCCTGTTATTTTTCCCATCTATCACTCATTAAGGAGCTCACTTGGGAATGCTTTGCAACTAGAGCAGCCTCATCTCAGGAAGAAAATTCTTCTTGATACATTATTTCAGGCTCCACCAATGTTCACTAGATGTTGCAGAAAGCATGCCAGGGAAATAAAACACTTTCTGAAAAGCAAAACCCAAGGCACCAGCTACACAAAGACTTTCTCATATTTTATTCACTCAGAAAATATCTGGGCCAAAAAATCTGCCCTCAGACCTGAGAGTGCAATATTCATTGGCCGCTTTAATGTCAGTATCAGAGGAAAAATCTGATCCGCTTTTTTTGGAGTGACACAGGGCTGCTTCTCTGTGCAGCAATTAAAGGTCTAGTCCAAATTTCTCATTGGATAGCTATGTGAACCTAAAAACAAACTGGACATTAATCTTAGGCCAACTTCTAGCAGCACTGATTCTCTTTGTGGAAGATACGTGATCATGCTAAAACAACAGAAAGCTTCAGTGCAATGCTTTCCCAAATGTAGAAAATAACCCAACCTCCCCATTTCTCTCTCTCCTATGTATTCTCAGATCAGAGCTCCAATTTGGGTACACAAGGGTTTCTGAAGTGCTTATATAAAAGACAGGAAATCAACAACTGTATTTTTCTAATCGGTTAAGCAATTTTTTTTATCCCAAATAATGTTTTTTGTTTCATCAAGGCACGCTTACTCTCTTTCATCAAAGTCAAAGCGAATAGATCAACATGCAATGCACCCCAGTGAAGAACAGATTAAGACTACGTCAGATTTACAAGAGGAAAACCACTTATGCCATCAGATTTTGCTTTTCATAGTAGCTGGAGGTATTAGGTCAATAACGTCCTGTGGTCTGTAGAACTGAGGTATGATACGAAGAGGGTACCTTTATAAAGATAGGCACGTCCTCAGCTGTGTGGGCACTGCATTTCCAACTTCTTAAGGCCAGTGGTAATGTGCTGGTAACTAGTGCTTGTTTAGGAGAAGCAAGCATTAGACAGATGAAGGAAGCAGTCTGATCTGCCACAAAAAATGCAACTTTCAGATTAGAACCAAGTTGTACTGACAGGTGGAACACTAACAGGTGGATCTTCCATTGCTGCTGCCTCATGCATTTAAAAAAAAAAAAAAAAGAGAACAATAAATCCCAAAACAATACAAAAGGTATTCTGCCCCTTTGAAACTACTTCCCTTGTCCCCTTCACCAGCATTGCTCATTGCTTTTCAAAAAACCACAGCAGAACATTTTTTGGTCTCATGCAACATTTTCCTGCTCTTAATTTTTCAGCAAAATCATGAATTTCATGGGGCTTTCCACATTCACTTTTCACAGGGCTCTGTTATGAAAGACTGCTTATGAAGAGCTGCCAAGAAACATGCTTAGGCTTTTCTGTAGCCTTCCACACGTCTCAGAACGAAGCCAAAACAACAATAGAGCAATAAAGACGACTTTTACACACAGTTTAATAATAATCTTTCTTTTTTTTCCGTTCTGCGCTGTCATGAGAGCTATATATTTCATGCCACATTAGACTTTTAAAACCAGGATCCAAGTTACACTAATTCTCCTTAATTGGTAAAAGAGAGATTGGATGCAGTAATAGTATTTTACTTACTTATCTGTAAGTAAAACTGCAGTTCTGAGAAGACAATCTAGACCACCAATTAGCAACCAATGAGGTTTTTTTGTTTCATATGTCAGTTGGGTGATACTTTGTTCTCTCATTCAGAGTATTCATGAAATAATTGATAAAGCAACATAGAAAATATTCTCATCCTTAATGTGAGAGAAGCTTTTGTAGGGCCTGGAAGACCAAAAGCAAAAATGCTGTCAAGAATTTCACAATATTACTTGAGAAAAGGAAAGTGCTTACAGTGAAGAAAGGATGCAGAAAGCCTGGCCTTTATCCACAGAGCAAGCTTTTACAGGCTGCACAGGGAGAAGATATATATTTGAGTGGTTAAATAGTATGTTGCAATTTTCTGAACTTTGCCAGGTAAGTCAGAATGGAACTCTTTACTGCTAATAAAAAATACTGTACTGTTTTTCTCATAAGAGATTACTCATTTTCTATCTAATAACTTGTATCGGAAGAAACGGGTTTTGTATTTTGTTTTCCCCTTCTCTCTTTTGTTATTAAAAAGAAGTCAGTGCCAATTGGAAATTTCAGGAGAACACAGAACCTAAAAATGGTTGGGTGGAACACACATAGGATGTTCCTCCAAGAAAATAATTCAGTTAGGAATGTTGTTGAAGTTTGATGAAAAAGATTTGAGGCTTATCTCAGAAAATAAAAAAATGAATTTTTTACTTCCAAACTGTTGCAACTTGCAATGAAGAAAAGAGAAACTCTGTGAAAATCCTTCAGTAGCAAATGCACTCAGC